GTCTCGCACATGCTCTGATACCAAATTGATGCAAGCAAAAATTTGGAAAAGCCTCTAAATTTTTGCAAGCAAATGAAATACTTCAGAAAATACTAAAAATACTAAAAATTAGACAAATTACAACTTTTATAAAATAAAAACGATTCTTACAACTTTTGACGCTTACAAACGCGAACATAAATAACACCTAAAGTTGTATTTGTTGATTGAGAAGAAAGGTACTGATGGGGTGGACAATTGCGGGGAGAATAATGAGGTTAGAAGCCAAGACAAAGTATAGCTCGCAAGCTATAGAGAGGAGGAGATGTGGGACATAACTCGCAAGCTATTCCGAAGAAGGAAGAAAAACCCTCAGTTTTTATATCCAAAAATAACATCATATCATCCTTTTTTTATTCCAAAACATCTAATATTTATAAGGGAAAAGAGGGCAGCTAAACTGTCAAAATAACCACCCATACTTGATGCAACAAAAGACCAAAAGCCAATGCACCAAATCCAGAAACAGCACCCAAACCACCGCCTAAAATCCAAAATTTATTCCAGAACAGCACCCAAAAAGGCCACACAGGAAACCGGGTAAAAGCAGCCCACGGGAAAGCAGCCAAGAGAGGAACCAAAGGAAGCAATTGGGGAATCGGAACAGCAGCTTAGGGGACCGGAACAGACAGCACAAGGGGGCTGGAACCAGCCAGGGAAAGGAAACCAAGGGGACACAGGGAAAGGAAACCAAGGGGACACATGAAAAGGAAACAATTACTCCAAAAAAGGAAACAATTTCTCCTCCAAATAATGAGCTAACCAGTGATAGACTTTTCAAAATAATGAGCTAAAGTCACAGCTCAAGCAATAATGAGCTAGAATTAAGTAGCTCCCAAGAATTTAGCTTAAAACCAAAGCAACCAAGGCCCAACCCGACAGGCAACCAACAGTAAAAAAACCAAAAGAACCCAAGCAACTTGCACACCCAAAGCTTGCCTACATCAATTCTCCTCCGGTTGAAAAAACTCATCTCTCGATGAGGTTGCTCGCAATGAAAATTGATTTTCATCTTCGGAAGATTTCTTTTCCTTAGCGACAATCATCCAATGGACGGAAGAAATTTGCTCCTCGATGGCAGCAAGTTGAAAAATTATTCTATTCACATATTCCTCCACATTTTGATCTATCTCTGGACAAAGTCGAAGAAAAGTGATTTAAGAATATCGACATTACCTTAAGCATTGTAAATGAATCCGTTGTCGACTTCAGGATCGGTCATTTAATGGATACAACCAAGACTCTTCAAAACTTACATGACAATTAAAACTAATATGACTCACAAACAAAACTCTCATGACACTCACATACATGACAACTAATATGACACCAAAATCTAGGATATACTAACTTACTCTGATACCAAATTGATGCAAGCAAAAATTTGAAAAAGCCTCCAAATTTTTGTAAGCAAATGAAATACTTCAGAAAATACTCAAAATACTAAAAATTAGACAAATTACAACTTTTATAAAATAAAAATGTCTCTTACAACTTTTGACGCTTACAAACGCAAACATAAACAACACCTAAAGTTGTATTTGTTGATTGAGAAGAAAGGTACTGATGGGGTGGACAATTGCGGGGAGAATAATGAGGTTAGAAGCCAAGACAAAGTATAGCTCGCAAGCTATAGAGAGGAGGAGATGTGGGACATAACTCGCAAGCTATTCCGAAGAAGGAAGAAAAACCCTCAGTTTTTATATCCAAAAATAACATCATATCATCCTTTTTTATTCCAAAACATCTAATATTTATAAGGGAAAATAGGGCAGCTAAATAGTCAAAACAGCCACCCAAACTTGATGCAACAAAAGACCAAAAGCCAATGCATTAAATCCAGAAACAGCACCCAAACAGCCACCTAAAAACCCAAACTTTATTCCAGAATAGCACCCAAAAAGGTCACACTAGAAATTGGGTAAAAGTAGCCCACGGGAGAAAGCAGCCAAGAGGGGAACCGAAGGGAGCAGCTGGGGAACCGGAACAACAACTTAGGGGACCAGAACAGACAACACAAGGGGTCTGGAACCAGCCAGGGAAGAAGAACCAGGAGGGAAAACCGAAGAAGCCAAGGGAAGGAAACCAAGGGGACACAGGGAAAGGAAACAATTACTCCTCCAAATAATGAGCTAACCAGTGAAAGACTTTTTAAAATAATGAGCTTAAGTCACAGTTTAAGCAATAATGAGCTAGAATTAAGTGGCTCCCAAGAATTTAGCTCAAAACTAAAGCAGCCAAGGCCCAACCTGATAGGCAACTAGTAGTCCAAAGACCAAAAGAACCCAAGCAACTTGCACACCCAAAGCTTGCCTACATCAATTCTTCTCCGATTGAAAAAACTCATCTCTTGATGAGGTTGCTCGGAATGAAAATTGATTTTCATCTTCGGAAGATTTCTTTTCCTTAGTGACAATCATCTAATGGACGGAAGAAATTTGCTCCTCGATGGCAGCAAGTTGAAAAATTATTATATTCATATATTCCTCCACATTTTGATCTATTTGTGGAACAAAGTCAAAGAAAAGTGATTTAAGAATATCGACTTTACCTTGAGCATTGTAAATGAACCCGTTGTCGATTTCAGGATCGATCATTTAATGGATACAACCAAGACTCAACAAAACTTACATGACAATTAAAACTAACATGACTCACAAACAAAACTCTCATGACACTCACATACATTACAACTAATATGACACCAAAACCTAGGATATACTAACTTGCTCTAATACCACATTGATGCAAGCCTCCAAATTTTTGCAAGCAAATGAAAGAGTTCAGAAAATACTAAAAATTAGACAAATTACAACTTTTATAAAATAAAAACGATTCTTACAACTTTTGACGCTTACAAACGCGAACATAAATAACACCTAAAGTTGCATTTCTTGATTGAGAAGAAAGGTACTGATGGGGTGGACACTTGCGGGGAGAATGATGAGGTTAGAAGCCGAGACGAAGTATAGCTTGCAAGCTATATAGAGGAGAAGAGATGGGGGACATAGCTCGCGAGCTATTCCAAAGAAAGAAGAAAAATCCTCAGGTTTTTAGATCCAAAAATAACATCATATCATCCTTTTTTTATTCCAAAACATCTAATATTTATAAGGGAAAAGAGGGCAGCTAAACAGTCAAAACAGCTACCCAAACTTGATGCAACAAAAGACCAAAAGCCAATGCATTAAATCCAGAAATAGAACCCAAACAGCCACCTAAAAACCCAAAATTTATTCCAGAACAGCACCCAAAAAGGTCACACAGGAAACCGGGTAAAAGCAGCCCACGGGAAAGCAGCTTAGGGGACCGGAACAGACAGTACATGGGGGTTGGAACCAGCCAGTGAAGAAGAACCAGGAGGGAAAACTGAAGAGGCCAAGGGAAGGAAACCAAGGGGACACAGGGAAAGGAAACAATTACTCCTCCAAATAATGAACAAACCAATGAAAGACTTTTCAAAATAATGAGCTAAAGTCACGATTCAAGCAATAATTTGCTAGAATTAAGTAGCTCCCAAGAATTTAGCTCAAAATCAAAGCAGCCAAGGCCTAACCTGATAGGCAACCAGCAGTCCAAAGACCAAAAGAACTCAAGCAACTTTGCACACCCAAAGCTTGCCTACATCATTTCCAATCACACTTTTTCATCATATTGGAATTTTCTCTATTTTATGGGTCAATGTGAGTCCACATAAAATAAAATTCCGTAGATCTTGGGTATTTATGGCTAGTATATGAAAGAAAAGCAGCACAATTATGTGAATGAGTGACGAAATACTTGGTCAAATCAATGTTTGAATTTTTTAAATGATATTTTTATACTCATCTTCTGCTCAGTGGTGGAAACATGAGGTGAGTTTTACAATAATTTCCGTACTCCCGATAAAATTTTGA